GAAACAAATGAGTTCTGGAGTGGATTGAATGGATGAGCGATTGGTTGATTGTACGATCCGAATGGATTAAACAGCTTGAGTTGAATTGAGTGAGTTGAGGTGATTGAATACGATCCGGATGCGAGGTAAGTGGTCATCAGATGGCTTTTGAAATTTGATCATTAATGAACGTTATCAACGAGGGTATGAGAACAGTTATCTCGCAATATCAGTATTCAACGATTCACATTCCTGGGACATCTGCGAACCTGAAAAAAGCTGAATTGTAATCCAATCCGGTCATGAAAATTTTGGCAAATTTTAATAAAATAATTTATGTGCTAAGAGATTTTTGTGAAAACAAAACATTTAAAGTGCCCCATTACAATCTGAAATTTGGCCCTGAAAAAACTTAAAATGCCACTTGGCTTGAGAAAAAACAAAGATTCTGAAATGACACAGAAAAAAACAAAACAGCACTTTACTTACAATAAAAATGTACGCAACATGAATATCGTATGCACAACTTACAATAATAATAATATTAATATTAATAATAACAACAATATCATTTATAATAATAGCACAATGGTAACATCACATCTATTGCATCAGAGAGAACGATTCTCAAAATTTGTCTTGTTATGCCCTTTGAACCAGTCTGTTCTCCATTTCCGTTTTTTTTTGGAAATTTTTCTGGTCTGTTCCATTCTCGTATCTTAAAATTTCAGCGCTGTTTTGTTGCGTCCTGCCTTTCCAACTGCCCTCTTTTTTGTAACCGTTTTGTTCTGTTTCTCGGAATTGAACAGTTTAGCCGGAACACAAAAATCACTAGCTAAAATCAACTGCAGATATTTAGTGCAACGTGGGAACAGCAGTGTGGTGGTGTGTAAAAGTATATGAGCTTGACTGTTAAGGTTTCGAAGTGGCCAAAATGCTATTTGTTCATTCTCAATTCACAAAATACTAGCGAGAAGACCACCTTCAAACTATATCAACAATAACAACAATCAATCAATTTTTGACTTAGCACATATGCAAGTATGGATCATAGACGACGAATTTAGAAGATAAGGAGACGAACCTAAAGGCGCTGTGTAATGAAACTGCTACTGTTCAAAATGCACTAGAATGCAAGACAGGCCTGCAGATGGATGGGCATAGAATCAAACGTTCATGTAGGTAGCAGCAAAATAGTGGATATTTTTTTGATTAATCAATATACTAAAACATTTTTTAAAATATATATTTATTAAAGTCGATGGTACATTAAGCACATTTAGTTTTTTGAATATTTTGCAATCTAATGCATTTGTGTATGGAGAATCGGCGTTTCGATACAATAGAGTAATTCACCTTTTTGAGGGTTCAGCCGAGCAATGAATATGTTAATGAATTGTACCAAAAATGCTATTTACAATGGTGCGTAATTAAGAGTAATGTTATTGACGACATATTTTATGTTATGATCGATACTGTATGACAAAATGTCGATGATACGAAGTGCTTGTTTTATCATTCTGATCTAAATGATGGACCAAGCAGCACATACTGCGTAAATGATTTCTTTGCAATTAGTCTCTGTAAAATCTTGTTCATGTTTGAATTGCGGAATCGGAATTATGTCTTCGGATCGTTTTTTAATCCCAGGATTGAGAAAGCATCCGTAAACGGAGGAAAAAGCAAGAGTAATGACGGTACGAAATTTTTGTTCACTGCTTTCTGAAAAAAAGAGCTGAGGTGTGGCGCTATTATGTAATGATTATCCATTCATTGCCCTTGGATGGTGAATCACAAATATTACTGATAGTGAATAAAAATGAACAGGGAATGATTGATGTGCGATTTAAGATGAGTGCATTGCTAAAATTTCATAAATTCCTGGGTTTTGTTATGATCGTGTTTCTTCGCGTTTTGAAGATTGTTGCATTTGTTGTGATTTGCTCCCTTTGCTGGGCCTTGCGGGTTTCTTGACTCCATTTGTTATGCCCGAAATCCCCATTTCTTCAGCACACGAATCCCGCAATAGGGATCGGGCTTCAAAAGTCAGGATTTGGGAATCCCTTGCAGTCACTGATCACAATCCAATCAACACCATATGGTACACATTTGTCATGAAACAGATGCCTGTGACACGATTGAGCAGTTATTTCATTCACGAAACTTCATTTACGAACTAAAAATTCCTTTATATGCAGTAATCAAAATACTTACTAAACCTTTTCAGTGCAACCAAATAATAATAATGGATGAATTCAGAAACACTCAATGGTCCCACACCAAACCAACGATCTTTTCTGTGGTACCAAAGAGTTCGATCAATTCTCACTGTTCATGAGAGACCATGTCAGCCAGTATATTAAAGAACTTATGAAATAATTGTGACTACTTCAGACTGACTTCTGTTTAGATCTAGGCGAGCTAAAGATACTCAGAAAATAGGATAAAGAAGAGGGTTGGCATGAGCGTTTAGATATTCGAGTGAAAGATACACCATCACAATGGCGTTCTATCATAACTAACAACTGCATGAAATACTAATTTCCTGATCCCCTCTATTGCCCCCCCCCCCCGACACCCCCAAATTACCCAAAACAGGTAACTTCACTCCCTATGAGAACCATTGTCCTAGACCGTTGTGGTGCTCATTCTTGCAATCGATTATGATTACATGAAAACCTATTGCATATGACACGCTCACTTCAAACTGATTTAGATGAATTCCCATTCTTTTCAAACGTGTTGTAGTCACTCTCATAGCTATTACATGCGAATATCATTCTCTTGATGAGTTTTTCTCATTCATTTCGTCTCATTTCACTTCACAGTTCAAATCAACTTCTTTTTCTGTAGCATATAATATTTACTGGATGCGTTGACGAGTGTTGACAGCCGAAATCAACAATACAGCAATCAAATACTATACGTTGACGAGTGTTGACAACCGAAGTCAACAATACAACAATTGAATGATATTGCACAACAATCGTTGACGAGTGTTGACAGCCGAAATCAACAATACAGCAATCGAATATCATTGCTCAACAGTCAAATCGTTGACGAGTGTTGACAGCCGAAATCAACAATACAACAATTGAATTGTTTGAGCTCAAACCCTGACGTCAGTGAATTGAATTGCTGAACAACATTCGACAGCGAAATGGTCAATTATAGAGTGTGTTTGATAGAATGAGAATTTCCCTTTGAATGCTGAATGCAATGAATGAGAAATTAACGAAAGAGAACACATTTGGTGGTAAAAGCTATGAGAGTGATTGCAAGAGCAAGGAAAAGAATGAAAACCATGTTAGGCCTGGACGAGCTAATGATACTCAGATAATAGGAGAATAAAGAGCGTTGCCATCAACTGACCGCATTTACACATCCGAGTTAAAAAACACCATCACAATGGCGTTCTATCATAACATAACAACTGCACGAAATACTAATTTCCCGACCCTCTCAATTACCCCTTGTCACTTCTAAATTACCTAAAATGGATAATTTCACATCTTATGAAAACATTGCTCTAGTGGATCCTCTATTCATGAAAGTTGGGAAATAAAGGAAACGAAGGGAAAGAATAAAGGAAAAGACTACCTTATCATTGCGCTTCCAAACACATTTGATAAATGAAAAAGAACGATCATTAAAAGAGGAAAGAGTTAGGAAACGCATCCAGTATAACGAAGGGAATAAACTACAACAAAGATGACAATCTACAGAAAGCGGAGACAGACCACCGTAACTCACACTACAAATTTATAAATAATTACGAGAATCCCTCTCACAAAAAGCGAATGCTCTCAGATGATGAATAAATTGTGTAAGAGGCTCAATGATTGCGTTCTAGCATATCGTCGGCATTGCTCAAACTAACGAACGACCAATTTGAACAATATCAGTAACATTAATAAGAAGTGTAACGTATGGTAGATCAATGTAAAGTTAAAGCGCTTTTCTAAACTGCCACTACAAGGACTGATGGTGTTTTGCATTTGCAATTTTAAAACGAGTTTATTTGAGAATGTACAACCTTTCATCCGAAACAGATACATGGTTCAGAGCTTGACTGTGTGAACTATCATGGCAATGACGTCAGGGTTTGAGCTCCAGGACGCCTTGAATACAGTACTCTCTACATTCCAAAAATATTGATCTATAGAGAGATCAACTATATAGAGTTTGGCGGTATAATGAAATGGCTTACAATTAGTGAGATGACGTACGTTGAGAAACTTAGCTGTATCTCTGCAGCCGCGGTTTTTTCGCTGATAACGTGCATGTCATTTCTTCGAAGGAAGAAATCTCCTATTTGACACCACCAAAAAACCATTGCGTTGTTGCGCAAAACTGATAAGACAGTTAGGTTGTGAATGATAATCCTGATACTATATTTATCAATAATACAGAGCATAATTGGTAAGCATGGACGTGAAATGGTTTTACGGTATATTGAAATCGCTTAGTCACATGACATACTCTTAGAAAATCAGTTACATCTCTTGAAGCAAAATGCTTGAGAAAGATGTAAACTTTCATGATCTAGAGAGATGCTAATCGTGATATTTCCATAGTAGTGTGTGTATCGGTATACAGAGTTAGGCAGATCAGTAGGGTTGATCTTTATTTGACCAGTGGAGAGATTAATCGCCCAGAGTTTGGCCGCACAATGAAATCGCTCAGCAGAAATGGTACTCGTGATATTTGTAGTATAGTTAACTATTAGCATCAGATGTGATATGCCAACAGAGTTGCAAACAGATTTCCCTCGACATCATGCGGATTTCTTCTAAAGTTTCAATTCCCGCTCTATCAATGACGCCAAAAAATCACACGGTTGTTGATCAAATGTGGATGTAAAGGGGACTTGAAAATGAGATTAACTAAAATTCGCATAAACAGAACATACTTGCACAAAGCAGTTACATTTCTGGGTCATTATTTTAATGATAACTCTGGGTCATTAATGATAACTGATAATAGTATTGTTATGGATAGTATTGCCATTATTACCATTTGGTGTTAAGGCTTTATGAAAACAGTCAACGATGAATTGATGAAAGTAGTGAAGCATTAAAAAATGAAGATGAAATGAAAGAAAATGTAAACGGATGAATGCTTATAAACATCGGGTGCTTATACTCATCACATTAGATCACGCATCACAATACAACAATGATAACGGTAACAATAAATGACAGTGAATATGGGCATGAATACAATTTAATGGTTGATTTCATCGCATGTATTTTGTTTTTGCTGTTGTTGTACTGTGTCCCGGAGCTTATGAATACATTTACAATTGTATTCGATCGATGAGTTAGTCAGCAGTTCGTATATGCCTTCGCATCCTCATCCTGAAATTTCATTCGACAATTTTTAGCAGCCGAAACTTTGCACAACTGCTGATATCTATGGTGATTTCATTGACAAAAAGACTTCGAGTGTTCTGTTGACAGTTTCTTATGTTCGTCAAGATCGTTGTTAATAGCTGTATTGATTGTAAGAAGGGAATGATTAATGAAAGGATAATAATAACAGTAACAATGAGTTACTAGAGGACGAGGAACGAATCGATTCGATGAAAAACACGAGATGGACAAAATGGAGAGGTGCGATTTAGAGAGGATGAAATGAGACGGTTTCACTCACACATTATCGTCTAAACCATTTTTGAATAATTTAACACCTGCACCAAACGTCCGCATACCAGCAACAATCGTCGATCTGTCATCATCATAATCATTGTTGAAATCATTTTCCAAAGACGACGATGAGAAACTAGCGCCAGCCGCAATGGCCGAGGCCAACGCAATAGCACCGTCATTGTTCGTTTCTTTGGTCACCTTGGATGGTGCTACTTGAATCTGATGAGCAATGATTCGTTGTGATCCTCTAGAGAGTGGAACAACCAAGTCGTTGAAGTCGTTCTCGTCTTCATTGCTATTATTGTTCTCTGGTATCATTTCTGTTTGTTCATCAGAATCCCATTTTGTTGTAACATCAGAATGCGGTGCAATATCAAGATTGTTGTCCAATGAACGCGTCCTGTTCATCTTTTTCTTCATCAATTCAGCTTTATATGTGTCCATTTGTGGGGATACTGCGCCAATCGTAACGGCTAACATACTGCCGATTAGTACACAAAGCACATCGAATCGAACCACCAACGATCGAGCCATCTCATAAAGTTCGTTGACGTCGTCTTCTTTAATGGGCGCTAGTTGTTTTACTGTTTGTCTGCTGAAAAAAAAATTCCTCCACAGTCGAAGAAAATACACAAAAGATTTCACAGAAATTTCACACTTAATCTGTTCATCATTACTCTCATCAACATTTAAAAAACTCTGACCACATTTGCAATTATGTGAAATCGTGTCAAACCGAACCTAAGACACATATCTTTCTACAACACTGAAGGGCAACTTCTCCCATAAACGTCACTTCCTTCTACCGATCATCAAATTCATCACTCGATATTCCCCTACCATTCATCTCTCCACTAATAATTTTTCACTGTTAACATTGACGCATGAAAATTTTCGTTCCATAATTAATTATCTTCATGTTTGCATCCGGGTCAATAAAACATTTATCTATCCGCTGGTCATTCAACTTACTTTTTGCTCATTCATTTATAAATTCAGTCATGCAATTCAGCTGATCCTCATTAGTTGAATTTACTTCAGACGTCGTTTGCTAATCAACTGCTATTCACTTCAACCACTACAAAAACGACCCATGTTTTATCAAACTTATTAAAGCATGCCACACACACGTTCAAATATTTCAAAACCAATACAATATGTATTAATAACAATAATCATTCAAGTGCATAAAGGGATCGAAATAATGACGATAAAAAGAGCAATAATAATTTTTTATGAAAATAAGAAGTGATATCGATGAAGTTATGACAACCAATAAGAGGCGTGCGTTCATATTGTGGATAATGAAACGAACCGTGAATTCGAATTGAACGAAAATGCTGAGTGGTATTCATTAAATACAGATGTTTTATTGGTGTTCTTGAAGAGAACAGCAACGGAGGGCAATGGCCCAATTTTGGACAATTTCATTCAATGACAACATTGATAAAATACATCGTGATGAATTAGAACGATAGATCAGCTGTCGAATAAGTCACTGGGTTATTGAATACTAATGGCCTAAAAATTGTACTCCTGAAAATCTTACAATAATGCAGCATTCATCAATACAAAAATAGAATGTGCAGAAATTGAAGACATAATAAAATCGTTCAGTTATATGATATGCCGTCAGAAATTCAGCTCTGTCTCTGAATCTAAACAGAATTGCTCAAAAAATATAACTTTTTCACAGCAGAAAATTTGTTCTATCCAATGGTACAAAGAAACCATCGTGGCGCTGAACGTTATAATGGAATCGTTCAGCTATATAACACGCCTTCAGAAATGTAGGCATACCTGTGAAACTACGTAAGATCCACCGACAACGTATATACTATCTTGATAGCAGAGATTCTTCCATATCCGATGCTACCAGAAACCACTGCGAAGCTGAGCAAACCTGAGGATTCAGGTCGCTTGGAAATGGTACTTATAATAATCGTATAACAGAGTACTTTTGATCAATAGAGATATCAAATGTACGAAGTTTAGTGTTATAATGGGATCGTTTAGCTAAATGACATATCTTCAGATATGAAGATTTGTCTGTGAAACTGAATGAAGTTCGCCGACAAAGTGTGTGCTTTTCTGATAGCAGGGAATTCTTCCTATCTGATCATACCAAGAAATCACGGCATTGCTGAGCAAAGTTGAAAATACAGACAGATCCAATATGATAATTATGATATTCCTACGGTTGGATATTGTTGATCAGCAGTGCATGACATACCTTCACGAAAATACTTATATCTCAGGCATTGCGCCTCACCTGTCAACGAATCGTATATCCTTCTAATCGTGGAAGATGCGCTCTATCCAATCGTGAGAATAAATTATTTGCTTGACGAGCGACCATCAGCATACATATGTGCTACTCGTTATTTCCAAACAGTAAGGAGATATTGTTGCGTTTGCATTTATTTTTCTGGAAACAAACATTTCCCATCGGCAAAACATTTCTGACAATTGGAGGTTGTTTTAATAGTTTAGCAGAAAAAATCGGATGGTATCGATGAAAATCTTAACGCACAACCGCGCTGAAGATACTGATGCTCATATTGCCATATTAACGTACCACTGATGATTATAAAACTGAAATATGTCCTCTGAAACTAGTGTTCGTTGGACAATGGTATCTCCGATGGAGAGCTATTCCCCAGCAATTTTGCTCCCTGACTTGTCGTTGGAGTCCCCAGCGGCCAAGAAGTTGCTCCCCGACGAGCACTATGTGAGACAGTAATAGAAAAATTGTAGTGCCATATAGTATACCGTCAAGATTTCAGATGTACTCCTGGATCTCGTATTTACCTCGTTTTCAAAGATTATCTCATTTCTCACAAAGCAAGCTCTTGGTACCGTGTTTTTTCTTTCGATCATAAATACAATTGATGACGGTAATCAATCTTCCATCCATGCAATTCAACAGAATTTCCTTTTAAGATGTAATACAAAACATCCAACAGTATACAAATTAGTAATACAGCCAGTTAGCTTGAACTCATTGAAACTTGCGAATTAATACTCTCGTTTTTTCCTTCACACATCCGTCACCTTGAATTGTTCATTTGGCTAATCGCAAAGCAAGTGGCAACTAGTCCATGCGTTTGTTTGGTAGATCCATGTACAAAAGGCGTCGTCGCACTTCGCCATACAAACGCGTCTGAGCGCAGGGGC